CCTCATGTGCGGGTGCCCCCCCCCCCCTTTTTTTTTTTTTTTTACTGCCCGGTCTGTGAGTCCATGAGCAGGCATAAGCTGAGCAGAGTGGAAGACAAGTGATCACGTGACACAGCAGAGATCAATAGACATGGTAAGCTGCAGTAATGGTCTCACTTATGAAGAAACAAGGCATGCTTAGGTGGTGACAACGCTGCAGAGTCCAGATGAGCCTGCAGAGCGTTGCCCCCGCTGACCATGAGGAACAGTTTGCTGGCAGGATCAGCCGATATTTTCAAGGGAAATCCATCTAGATTATAAAAAAAAATCAAGGCTCAGGTGGTTTTGATGCTTTAATGTCTTTTTTTTTAATTGGTTTTAATTTTAAAGCCACTTTAAATTCCAAGCTTCAAATTTTTAATCCATAAAATGTTTTAGAGTAAAAAAAAGATCAGTAAATGGAACATTTTGCATTAGAATATTTATCTCCTGAGGAGCTGAAATGACGAATTCCATTCACAGAGGTCGAGGGAGTTCCTTTTCTATTTTATTGGCATATCTGCTTTCCCATAAACACCTTTCCACAATGGAATATTCCATCCACTTCGGTATGAGATGATGGGGCGACTTTATTACTAGACAATGGAGACAACGAAATGAAGAATACTTCCAATTTATTTAAAGGAGAACTATGAGGCGAGTGATTTCCACTCACCTCATAGTTCTAGCCGACCTGTGACAATGAGACTGTCACAGGTCGGCTCAGTAGATCGGGAAGTGAGGGAACACATACCGTCGCTCGCTTCTCGATCTATCCCTGCAGGGAGCCATGACTGTCACTCACGGCTCCCTGCAGGGATACCCCCTGTCCGATCCTCCAGCGCTAACAGAGAGGGGGCGGGTACAGCTGGCTCTGCCTCTAGATAGGCAGAGCCAGCTGTCAGTCACAGAGCTGGGTGGATCCAGACACAATTGTCGGGATCCGCTTCAGCTGGGGCGTCTCAGTACATAGTGAGCTACAGCTCGCAGTGTACTGAGCTTTTGGGTGACGGGCGGGCGCTAGTTTGTGTCCTCCCGTTACCCTTAGGAGAACTATGGGGAAAAGCCCTGACCCCATAGTTCTCCTTTTTAAGGATATTTTAGAAATAGGCAAAAAAAATGGAGAGGAACTCAGATTTTCAGTACAATGTCTATCGCCATTATTATGCTACATAGGTTTTCTGACGGCTAAACATGACTGTGTGGCCCCAAATGCACCACACTGCCGGGTGCCCCCTGTAATCTGACAGACTAGGTCAAAGACCACCCCCCATTTTTTGTCAGACACCAGTCACCAATCCACAGAAAGGATGTCCTTGTGCTGGAAAGGGTCCAGAAAAGGGCAACCAAACTCATTAAGGGGATGGAGGACCAAAGCTATGAGGCAAGGTTACTAAATGTAAACATGTTCAGGGGTACAGGTACACATAAGAATAAGATCACACGTGAACTCATACACATGTAGATGAACATGCATACACGCAATAGGTTGGACTCGATGGACCTGTGTCTTTATTCAACCTCAAATACTATGTTACCCCCTCAATTCCTTTGCAGTACAAGTCTGCAGCCACTTGTTCTAAGCTAGTGTGGCCACTACTCAGCTATGCCAGCCTAGAGCACTGGAGGGGGAGGAAGGGGGAGCATCTCCACTAAGAGGAAATGGTATATTTAGGCAAAAGCGGATGTATTTTTAGGCACTTCACCCAGAAACCAAAATGGATAGGAAGTCAGATAGACATTGTACTGACGCTCTCCATTATTCAGTTGCATGATGTCGGAAAATGACTGCAGTCCCAAGATGCACCAGAGTCCAACCACACTGCCCAGTGCACTCTGTATTGTAACAGACTAGATCAAAGACCACCCCTGCCCCCCATTTCGTGTCAGAATTGCCCCCTCTCTCTTCCTTCGCAGCACAAGTCTGAGGACACTTGTACTGGGGAGGTGTGGCCATTACTCAGCTATGCCTGCATAGAGCACTGGAGAGGGGAGAAAGGGGGAAGTTAAACATGGAATTTCAGGCATTTCCCCCAGACGCCAACATGGACAGGAAGTCAGATAGTCATTTCTCTGACAAGCTGCATTATTATGTTACATCAGTTGTCTAAATATGACTGATAGGTCCAAGATGCACCAGAGTCTGACCACACTGCCCAGTGCACTCTGTAAGCCGGGGGTAGCCAAACTCCGGCCCTCCAGCTGTGGTGAAACTACAAATCGCATAATGCATCTCTCTCCATCCATGTCTGTGGCTGTGAGAATCTTGCAATGCCTCATGGGATTTGTAGTTCCACCACAGCTGGAGGGCCGGAGTTTGGCTACCCCTGCTGTAAGCTAACAGAATAAGCCAATGAGTGACTACCCCTTTTGTGTTAGACACACCCCCTTTCTTCCTTTGCAGTACATGCCCGAGGACACTTGTGCCGGAGAGGTGCGGCCATTACTCAGCTATGCCAGCAGAGAGCACTGGAGGGAGCGGCAAAAGTGGAAATCGGTGACAAATCATGACGTATGGCAGTATAGGCCTATTGGAGAAAGCAGAGACTTCAGTTGGGTTATAAAGGGAAGCTGTATTCATGGACTGTTGCCTACACTGGGCAAGATGACATGGTTCCCCATACAGGGGTAGTGTTGGGTGCTTCCCTTCCAATGCCCCGCCCCCTTTTATGTGCCAGAACACCATAAAGTTTTATGCACTTTTCAGCATTGATCTTCTACACAAGGTGATGGAATTTCCCAACCCCCACTTCCAAGTGGTAGTACTCGGGCCTGGCATCTGGCCACTAAAGCCACCGATTGCCATATTATGAGGCCGCAGGGGAACGGTCTTGTATCCCCCCACACCTGGAAGTACGGGGTGCCCCCTGTAAAGGGAACTTCTTATTTTGCCCTGCAAAGGCAAAGAACAGGTTCTCTTTTCAGAAAGTTTCCAAAATGTAGTTTCTATTGTGTACTGAATGTGTGTTTTATTTTCTAATAATCATTGGCCATGAGCAAAGCATGATGGGAAGTCCCCATAATCCCCCCTACAAACCCATCCCTG